CAAACTATATGGCACAACAGGTTGACATCAACGAGAGAATGCGATCTATCTTGATTGACTGGCTAATTGAGGTAAAGTAAATGTTCCCTCTTCTAAGTTGATAAATTTCTTCAAAGTATAGCAATTAATACTTGCTCATTCTGATCAACAGGTGCATCACAAGTTTGAGCTCAGGGAAGAGACGTTGTTCCTGACCGTCAATTTGATTGACCGCTTCTTGGAGAAGCAAGGTATTGTTAGAAAGAAGCTTCAGCTTGTTGGATTAGTTGCAATGCTACTAGCATGCAAGTATGAGGAGGTTTGTGCTCCACTGGTGGAGGATCTGGTGTTAATTTCGGACAAAGCCTATACAAGGAAGGAGGTTCTTGAAATGGTAAATTCTGGTCTCTCATAATAGCTGTAATTAGTATACTTTGCTCTACGTTTAGTATATAATATAAAGACGTTTTTTTCCATATCATGCAGGAAAGCATGATGCTCAACACACTGCAGTTTAATATGTCAGTCCCAACTGCATATGTTTTTATGCGAAGATATCTCAAGGCTGCTCAATGTGATAGGAAGGTTAGTAGCTGATAGTTCTGAATGTACAATACTTGTTTTTACATGTAACGAACACAATATTGATATTTCTCTAACTTTTACTCAATGGCTTTAAACAGCTTGAGCTTCTGTCTTTCATGTTGGTTGAGCTTTGCCTTGTGGAGTATGAAATGCTCAAATTTCCACCATCCTTCATAGCAGCTGCAGCAATCTATACAGCTCAGACCACACTCTACGGTGTCCAGCAGTGGAGCAAGACGTGCGAGGTGCACACAACTTACTCAGAAGATCAACTTCTGTAAGTCTACAAACTCCAATCTTCCAACTCAACACCTTGCTCTTCTTATTTAGTTACTTATTTCTTTCTTTTTCTTGCTGTTTAGGGAGTGCTCGAGATTGATTGTTGGCTACCACCAGAAGGCAGCAACAGGGAAACTAACAGGGGTACATAGGAAATACAGCATATCGAAATTTGGTTATTCAGCCAAGTGTGAGCCTGCCCATTTTCTTGTGCAGCAGACACAACAATAGAGGAGAAAAGAGGGGCATGTACAGTTATTACTAACTTTATATGCAATTGGGGATATATTGGGGTAATGGAGAATTTATAGGAAAAAAGATAACTTAGCAACTGTGGTTGCCCCGGGGAATTTCATTATTTCTTTTTATAGAGTTCATTGTTGTTGCACTTTTACTATGTTCATCAACATTTGAACATGCCTGGATTTTCAGTTTCAGTTACAGTTTTTCATTTACAAACAGAAATAAAAAGTCAAACTTTTCACAATTTTCTCAGAGTGGTTTTTGCTTATTGAGTTGGTTATTTATTGAATTTGCTTGTGCTCTCTTGGGTTTTTTCATCAAGATTGTGAAGACACTGGCAAGTAACTCACTCCTCCTTCCTTAATCAAGGTCTCGGGTTAGAAAGCATTTATGTGGGACTTTTTAGAATGCGGATTTAGTTGCGACTCCAATGGATACCGAACTCCAGGTGACGAACCAAAAAAGACCAAGAATTGCTGTTTTCATAAGGGGGCGTCCATTTGTGGGCTGATATAAAGTCCAACAATCTTAATGGGCTGTGATGCCTGTCAAATGAGAAAAACAAATGCTTGGAGGACAAGTATTTTGGTCAAGTATATTCTAAAAAGAAAAGGAAACCAAATGTCTTTTTTTTCCCATTCCGTGTCCGATGGAGTACCGATTAAATTCGGATGGCCATTAAGGGATGACTATTCCAATGTAATTTTCTCTGAAGCTCAAATCCGAAATTTTTATTAAAAGTGAAGCAGTCAGGTGGCACAATTGTTAAAAGCACCTGCCAATTGCCCAATTCGCTTCTCTGCTCCCTCCATTCCATTTTCTGACCATATACTAATTTTTTTTCATTCCCACCATTTCATTTATACTTTGCTTCATTTTTGCATTTACTTGTTCAATCTAACAAATCAATATAACTTTATTATTTTTCCTCATACGTCACTTATAAAGATAGTTTAATAAAAGTTTTACTATCAATATACTGCTCCTTGACGACATCATTCACCAACCTCACTGATTTATTTTTTTAGTTTAAGAAAGCACCTAGCTTCTAACATGAATAAAAAATAATAAAAATATCCTTATTTTCTCTTATAGTTCTATATAAAAATATTAAAATTGTAATAATTTTTTTATTCAAATTCATCTAGTGTTGAAGAATCCATGTCATATATTATATCTCGTATAGCCACAAAAATATAATTTGTTCTCATAATCCTAGGTACAATTTGACTTAATATGCCAAATACATGGACAACAAACACATTTTCTTGTCATAATAGCACGACACTACTTCATAGTAATTTTTTCGTATAATCAATTAGTACATGTTAACACATAATTTAGATTGCATACACGTAATAAAGAAGTGTTCACTGAAAATTGGTCCCTACTTTTGTCACCAACCTCACTAATAAGACTTTTTTAAGTATTCCACCTACTTTTGCCAACATCGATCGTAATATAATAGTGAGATTGTTCATCATTAATCAAAAAATTTAAATTTAAGCCTATAATTTAAATTTAATTAAAATTTCAATACAAGTATCGAACATCACAAAATGTTTTAAAAAAAATATAGTATTTCGCCTACCTTTTGGGACCCTCCAGTTTTTTTTCCAAGCTATTCTCTTAACATGAGGCATTAAAATGGGTAGTGAAAAGGTTAAAGTTACCTTTTTTGATTCGGCTGCCGCTTTAAATTTTATATTTTAGTTTCGAAAATAGTCTATATATACATTTGTTATACTCTCTCCCTTTCATATTATTTTGGGAAAAAGGGTTTGAAAATATTTCTACTTTGATCAAAATTGCTGTTATGATATAAAATTTTATGGAGGGCCTTTTATTTCTACACTATTTAATAGTATATTTTAAAGGTATATATGTGCTCATGTGAACATTATAAATATTGCATAATTATAAATAGTAACGTGTCCACGTGGGCACATATATACCTTTAAAATACATATTAAATAGTGCAGGGGTAAAAGGTCCTTTCCAAAGTTCGATATTGTTACAATAATTTCGATCAAAGTTCAGATATATTTCAAACCTTTTTTCTTATTATTTATTTACATTACTAAAAAGTTTTTCCTTAAATTATTTATCGATTTACAAATCAAAATAGAATAAATGTAATTTTCCCCTATTTTATTCTTAAATTATTTTTAAGAAAATATAAATATTACGTACAAAGTTTCAAAAAACTCTTCCATTTTTAATCTTGATAGATAAGACATATAATTTTTAAAGAAATGTATACATAAAAAAGTGAATAAATGACATTTTGGGCGGGGGGATGGGGGGGGGGGGGGGGGGCGGCGCAAATGAGTTGAATCAACTTAGGAAAAAAAATAATCATATTTCTTTAAGATTTTGCTAATCAATTTAAGTTACGTAAAGTTCAAAATGTGTCAAATTGATCCAAAATTCTAAATAATTTAACTTGGTTGTATAGAAGTTGAGTCAGCAATGTATTTAACAAATCTAAAATTTGACCAATTGGACTAGTTATACATATTTGAACAAAATTTGATAAGTTTAGCCAGAGTAGAATAAATTACTTGATTTATATTATATTGTAAAATATGTTTTAAAAAATAATTAGAAGCATATAATTAGATCTAGTCATTCAAAAAAATCGAATGTATTACTAAAATTAACAATATAAGAATATTAGTGAGAATCTTCTATTCAATAATTACTATTCGCTCCGTTTCAAAAAGAGTGGTCTGATTTGACTTGGCACGAAAGTTTAAGAAATTAAAGAAAACTTTTGAATTTTGTGGTCCTAAATTAAAGTTATGTCAAATGTACAAAATTGCCCTTAATTGTGTGATCTTAAACATGCCACGTGAAAAGCAAAAAGTAAAAAGTAAAATATTATCAAAAAAAGAAAAAGATCATTCTTTTTTAAACTAACTAAAAAGGAAATGAGGTGTGAAACGGGCGAGTACTAAATAAGAACTCCAAATCTACTTTACAGGAGTATTAGTTGACTATCTTAGTTTGATTTGGGTGGGGGCACTCACCATAGGATGTGTTTGGTATTTTAATTTTTTTTCTTCATATTTGGTTATTCAAAGATTTTACAAAAATAAGTTTTTTTTTTTTTTACTTCAAAATAAATTTACATCTCATCTCCATCCTCCAACACACTTTACTACATCCCACTACACTACTTTACCTCCAAACACATGGTGTTTGCCTCAATTATTCACTACTAATCTTTTTGAAATAATATTTTCTACTTGTGTACTTATTCTGTTTCAAAATAATCAGTACTTTTAGCTTGAATACACCTCTTAAAAAACTACTCAATCCTAAACAATAAAAATATATTTTCACAAACTTATTCTTAATTAAAGAAAAAATATTATAATTAATAGTTTTTTGTTATGTAAACAAAGATATTATTGAAAGAATAAAATCAAACGCGACTTAATTTGATACAAAATGAAAAAACTAAAACGTCAGTTGCTGTCGAACGAAGGAAATATCAAATACAAGAAAAATAAATAATAAAAAATATTTTCACATATAAAACATTTCACTTTGTACCAAACACACCCTTAGAGATAGTTTAATAGGTGATTAGAGTTATGCAGTTATGAATCATTTGGTAGTTATTCATGTATTAATTTTCATATAACTAGGATGTTTGGTTGATAATACAGAAATTCATATAACTACCGTAATTTATAAATTTTCTCCCAACTTATATATGTATAATGTATTAGTTATGTGAGTTTTTAAAATTGTCAATTAAATGACTTATTTCTTGCCTGTCTGGTGTCTACCAAATATTCGTAAGTCACACAAAAATTAAATACATGAATAATTTATTTTAGCAAACGACCATGTGTGTCAAATTTTCCACATTTCCCTAGTACTGCTGTATAAATAACACACCAACTTCTCCTTTTTTCCCTGCATCGCCCAACCCTCTCTACACACAGAGTCTCTAAAGGGAAGAAAAAGGCAAACAAGCAATCTGCAGCCATGGCTATGTCAGCTGCCACCACCCAATCTTTCCTCCTTAACAACAAAACCACCCGCCAGAACTACCAAACCCTCAAATCCGCCACCCACATCGCCGCCTTCCCCTCCACCCATGTCCACCCCACCACCACCCTAACCTCTACATACAAATCTATGTCCATTTCCTGCTCAGCCGCCGCCTCCACAACTACCACCCCCCTCCAAACACCCTCTTCCACCTCCTCAGATCGGGTCTTCAACTTCGCTGCCGGACCCGCCACCCTCCCGGAAAATGTCCTCCAAAAAGCCCAAGCCGACCTCGTTAACTGGCGGGGCTCCGGCATGTCCGTTATGGAAATGAGCCACCGTGGCAAAGAATTCCTTTCCATTATTCAAAAAGCAGAATCAGATCTGAGAACCCTTCTTAATATCTCTGATGAATACGCCGTTCTTTTCCTTCAAGGTGGGGCCACCACCCAATTCGCCGCCATTCCTCTCAACATCTGCTCACCGGATGACGCCGTTGATTACATCGTCACCGGTTCATGGGGTGACAAGGCTTACAAAGAAGCAGCTAAATACAGCAAACCCAATGTCATTTGGAGTGGCAAATCGGAAAAATACACCAAGATCCCGAATTTTGATTCGTTGGTACAAAACCCAGATGCCAAGTATTTGCATATATGCGCCAATGAAACTATTCATGGGGTTGAATTCAAGAATTACCCAACACCCCTTAACGAGAAAACCATTCTTGTTGCTGATATGTCCTCCAATTTCTGTTCAAAACCAGTAGATGTTTCTAAATTTGGTATCATTTACGCTGGTGCACAGAAAAATGTTGGTCCATCTGGAGTTACCATTGTGATTATAAGGAAAGATTTGATTGGAAATGCACAGGAAAGTACACCTGTGATGTTGGATTACAAGATCCATGCTGAGAACAATTCATTGTATAACACACCCCCTTGTTATGGGATTTACATGTGTGGGCTTGTATTTGCAGATCTGTTGGATCAAGGTGGATTAGTAGAGGTTGAGAAGAAGAATCAGAAGAAAGCTCAGATTTTGTATGATGCTATTGATTCTAGCAATGGATTTTACAGGTGCCCAGTTGAGAAATCAGTGAGGTCTTTGATGAATGTGCCATTTACATTGGCTAAACCAGAATTGGAAGCTGAATTTGTGAAGACAGCTGCTGGTGAGAAGATGGTGCAGCTAAAGGGACATAGGTCTGTTGGTGGAATGAGGGCTTCAATATACAATGCTATGCCTTTGGCTGGAGTTGAAAAGTTGGTAGCTTTCATGAAGGAGTTCCAAGCTAAGCATGGTTAAAACTATCTTGTTCTGGTTATACTAGTATTTTTCTTCTATGCTTTTGGCTTTTAATATTTGCAACCCTTTATAATTTTCTTTTTTGTGCCTTTATGTTCTGTTGGTTTATTTGAGTTGAGAGAGAGTCTGAATGACAACACTTGAGTATGTGTTGGTCCTATTGATTCTTGTGTACTTCTAGGAGTTTTTTTAGAAATATGGAAACTATTACTTAGTCCTATTAGAAGTTTAATGAAAAAGTATTTTCTTTTTGGTTTTTGGGTTCATTGTTGAGCAGCACTCACTCCATTTTATGAGGAAAAATTGCAATATGGTTGAATAAGTAGGCTGAAATTTCTTCTTGCCATATTATTTATTGATGTTACAGAATCATGAAAGAGAACATCACACCCTTGATTCCCCTGTTTGACTTGTAACTTGTTGCATAGTTCCACACCTCCAAAAAAAATCATTTGTTTTGGTCGGGTGGGCGTGTAAAAGAGAATCACGACAAATTATTTGTGTTTCAGAACTTAGCACTACTTCTTTTTAAAAAATAAAAGAAATAGATAAATGTATATTGGTGGAATAAGTTACAAACCTCAACCTCTTAAAGTTGAGGTATTGGAAGTTAAATATTCTAATTCAAGTTAGTAAAACTTATTTGTCAAATACTAATAACATTAAAGTACCAATCGTTGTCTATCTCACCAACCTCAACTAGTACACTAGACAGTGATGTAAACTTTACTAGTGACGTGCTATTGTCAATGCTTCATTTTTTAAGATGTAGTCTACAAGTTCAAACAAAGTTGTTTGCATCTTCCTGATTTCAGATATTTAAATACTAACAACTCAAGACCAACTTCCCTTGCCTTTGGTGTCTATATAAAAAAAGACATTGTGAGCAATGTTGATGGAAACTGCCAAGGGGTAAGTAAGACTACTTGGTTGCCAATCACAGCAATGGAAGGTACATTGCGTCTCACCAAGTGGCATGTTTACTGCCTGGCTAAAGACATCGTATTATCAAATTATGTATAACATACGATTTTACTCTATTTTTTTAGTCTAGGGGTATTTAATATATATCACATCTATTGCAATTCAACTTTAAAATTCCAACTATAGATGCTGGATGAAAATTTTCAAGTTCCTTTTCAATTTAACTAGTATAATTATTGGGGATTCATCGTTTTTCCTTTTTCCTCGGAGATTTTGGGAAACCAAAAACTATAATCACGAAGAAGTTAAGAAGGTAGTGGCTCTTCTCAAAATATGGTGAATATATATCTTTGTAAAGATGTTATTTTTAATAAGCTTCACCGTATTGAAGTTCTAGGGAAGTCATCAGTTCAATTGATTTCCTTACGCGATATTTACTACCAAAATTTTACAATTTCTAAAAATATGTGCTCTTCCTCCTTTCTCTACACCCAATTAAACAAAAAAAAAAAAAGGAAGAACGAAATACCTTTGGTATACATATCATGTGAAGAACGACAAGGGATGCCTACTCATGCTTGTGTTTTGTTCTTCCTTTGCATCACTTCTATACAACAAAAAGAAAATTCTTTGCACAAGGCATTTCTTTGTTAATTACATAAGAACACAAAAAATTCCTCTACTGTATCTCTCCTTCCACGTCTGCTCCAGACTATCCAATCTACTGAAGCTGGATTAGACAACATTTGGGAAGCATCTCTGCAGCCCTCATTGGCTGTTAAGAAAATGAGAATCTAGAAAATAGTGAGCTCCCAGATCCTGATGTATCTTTTGCTGGGCTGGCTTGAGCTTCTATAGAGGAGCGATAGGCTTGTTGGCACTTCCGCATCTGCAAATGCATGAGTAAACTCATGAGGTTTTCAGGTTATATTACACTCCTGTAGATTTACTCACTATTGATATATGATAATCAACATAGTAAATATCAGCAGGAGAACGATAAATACAAAAAGGTTTGTCTGCATATGCCTTCCAATTAAATTTATTTGAAACCTAGTCAAGTTATAGCACATTTTCAATTTCTAATCATTTGATAGAACCAGATTTTGCAATTAATAGCAAAATAAGATGATTATCAGAATTAAGTTCTCTATACCTGCAGTGCAAATACATACCATTTGAGCTAAAAGGTACCAAGTCACAATAAGTCTTAATGTATTTATTTTAACGGAGTAGGTCTAATAGATTCATGAATATTACTGAGATATATTGTCATAACCATCACCAATATTTTAGAAATGAAAACAGTAGTTTACTACTGGAAACAAGAACATCACCTCCTCAGGGCTGAACTGAAGAAGCATTGCAACCACAGGTAATAGAGCCTCCACTTCACCTGTGAAATATTTATCTCAAGCAAATTATGATGTAAATAATTACCTATGAAAGCAATTAGTTCAACTAAAAAAAATCTGTTTTTACAGGGAACAAATTTTAAACCTTTTCACTGCAACACTGAAAAGTTACCTGTCTCGAGAAGTTTTAAAATGACATTCTTAAGATACGTCAGATCTACCCCTTCCCTCTTCTGTGATCTATCCATGTTCCTAAGCTCCTCTTTCAACTTAGCTTCCTGCACTCATTAAGGCAAACTTATAAGGGAATCCAATTCAGAAGAAGTCCAAGTAAAAGGACAGCAAAGCATATGATTGTCTAAGCCAAGAACCAGCTGCCTAAGCCCACTCAAACATTATGCCCATGACTAAACAACTCAAGTCACCCTCCAGTCACCAAGAAAGGAGAGAATTAGCCATGACAGACACATGACTTCTATTTAAAGACATACCTGCTGGCTATGGAGACGATTTTCATGTTCGAGCTCTTCTATCTCCTCCTGAATCAAGACATCAAACTCTAATGAGGGAACTATCTCTTAAGAATATTGATGTTCTCGGAGCGAATAACTTACTTGAAGGGCTAGAATGTGACGTTGTGACTGAGCAAGCTCTTCTTCTCTTTGTGCTTGTTGTCTCGCCAAAACCTGAAGCATCAAGAGGTTTTAAGTAGTGGCATTGACTAGTGAGACAGAAATGGAGTCTCTGAATGCTAAAAACTAATGTTCTTAACTAAGGAGCCGTTTGTCCATGGATTAATTTTCCTTTTTTTAATTATTTTTTTCCAAAACACTGTTTGGTTATACATTGGACTGATTTTCTGAAAAAAAATTTGAAGTTGAGTTTTTAAAATTTAAGTGAAAACCCATATCCATTCACAAAATTTCAACTTTTTCCCAAGTTAAATGCATGTCCAGAGACAACTTCAATTTCCAAATATTCTTTTTCGACTTAAACTTCAAATACTACTTTTTTTTCTTTCTTTCATATATATAACAGATAAGGCAGGTGTGGAATGGTTGACTGGGTTGTTTAATGCTATTTTTAAGACGGAAAAAATGCCCGACGAGTGGAGGTGGAGTACAATGGTTCCATTGTACAAGAACAAGGGTGATATCCAAACTATAACAATTACATGGGTATCGAATTATTAAGCCACACTATGAAGATTTGGGAGAGAGTAGAGGAGATGAGGGTGAGGAAGGGAGTGTCCATTTCTGAGAATCAATTTGGGTTCATGCCGGGGCTTTCGACTACTGAAGCCATCCACCTTGTGCGGAGATTGGTGGAGAAGTATAGGGAAAGGAAGAGGGACCTTCATATGGCATTCATTGACCTTGAAAAGGCCTATGGCAAAGTCCCGAGGGATGTTCTCTGGAGGCGTTTGGAGGCTAAAGGTGTCCCGATGGTGTATATTAGGGCGTAAAGGACATGTATAAAGCATAAAGCATGTCAGACCATGTTTGGGTTGGACTTTAAAGTGTTGCCACTTATACTAATCTCTGTCTCACTCTTTGGTTTCCTTTTTCCCCTTTGCAGTAACTGATGAAAATATTGCACAGTAATGTAACTAGAAAATTGTCCATACTAGAATCTGCTGATCAGCATCTGAGGTAGTCGAATTCAGAGGATCCTGCTTGTCATATACTGTACAATCATTTCAAAGAGCAATATAAGTCACTGAAGCAGCTATTAAAGAATATTATTTTAAACTGTAGAATGAGCTAAAAGGTGCTGAAGATCTTCATACCTGTATTGGAATTGCCATTGTGATCGGCCTGATATTTGCAGAAGAAAAATCACAATTTTAAAAGAATGCCTAAATACACATGTTAAATAGGTGCATTGCTCAAGCAGATTCATGAATGACCAGTATGAATAGGTGATTGGAGACTGCTCCACACTTACAAAAAGTTCAGACTGAAGTTTGTGGCGAAGGTTCTCATTATCATCTAGAAGTCTAGAGATCTCATTGTCCTTCTCCTCAATCATCTTATCAGCAAGGTCACGAAAAGAATCAAGCTCTTCCTACAAGTTAAAGAACTCGGCGTCACCAAACTAAAAAGTGTTATGATCATATTGATGATTATAAATCACACCTTCAATTTTTTGCAGCTTTGTTTGAGGTCATCTAGTTCTTTTTGAACATTATCACCAGAGGTAACCACACTCTCTGCTTTAAATGCATCACATTTCACTGCAAAACAGTATCTGAAATTAGTTTTCCATCTGGAAACTGAATAAATGGCAATTCATAAATAGAAAGCTGATTATTATATCATCCTAAATAATTACATCGCCATGTTTCTTCTACATTTTGAAGGCTTATTTCCCATGCTTCCTTCTCTTTTTGGTGGGCAGAAAAAGCAGAATTGAGCTTCATTTCCATGCTTCTGATCCGTTGCTCTGTAGCACGAAAAGCTTCATCTCTGGAAATGATTTTAATGGAGAAGTGTGTCAATTCATTCTCTTTCAGTAAATAAGAAGCTAAATCAAATCTGTAAAAAGTCTGTACTACTACAAATTAGATTTAAAACTATTTTACCCGAGGGAGTAAATGAACTTAAGAGTGTGTCCATGTCAATGTTTGTGAGTATAATGTGTGAAAAAGCACCCCAAAAATAAACTGCGTATAATTTGCGTTCAGGTGGACATTGAACAAGTCATCAAACTCAGATTACCTGTCTGAAAGTTCCTTCTCATGATTAACTAAAGTGTTCTTTAGATCTTGAAGGGCTTTATCCCTTTCAGAAGAGACTGACATTACCTCTTTCTCCACTTCCTGAAAGAGCAAAATGTCTTAGCAACAATTAAATGACCTTAATGTTAAACTGTTAAGCCAAAGCATTTCACTAGTTACACCCGGAAGCATGCACCTTCAATGCTTCCTCCAGTGCTTTAAGTTGTTCGCTGTCTCTAGCAGCAGCCAATTCAGCATCCTTTCGCTG